ACCAATCATGTAAATGTGTCCAATATTTTGCTATTGTTATTTAGCACCCATAATACTAATAACAATACAGCAGTGGCTTAATTTTCATGCTTTAATTTTATGTTAGAAAATAATGGGAAACTTCCTGTTCTTTGAATACTTACTAATGCCACATCCTGAACTGCCATTTCAGTTTGTTTTAATTTAATTTACTTTATTACATAATATTTTTTAAAAAGTGTTCTTTGTTCTGAAAACCCATCCAATATTTATTTCTAATTCTTTTCATCAGATACCACATTTTTACTTGGATGAGTTGCAACTATATAAAATTGTGGCATTTCCTTCGATCTTTTTTGGGAGGGAACGATAGGAAAGCATTTTTTTCACTCTCACATCAATTTCTCTTCTGATATTTCTCTGAAAAACTCATTCCCCTAGTTTCTTTCCAATAAAGATGATAGATATTGAAGCCTAATGGGTGCATACTGTATAATTGGTAATTGAACAAAATATGGAAAATATTTTGAAAGACTGGTGAACTGCATATGCAGGTTCTCTCATGATACAACAAGTAGTGGAAGCACCCATATTTGACCATGGAATCCATGAACTCAAATCTAGCTCTGGAATAGGCTGTTCTTCAAAATTATGGCAGACTCGTTGATAGATATTTTTCATGTTGAAAAGTAATTTTATTTTTAGCCGGCCATCTTAATGATTTATTTTTAGTCAATAATTCCATGTCAGTTTGTGCACTAATATCTAGGACTCTCTGTTTAAAAATTTCCCTTGCCATCCCGATGCTGAATGGAAAACCCATATCATGAAATAACTTCAGAGAGTTGACTGAACCAGGAATTGGTCTGTGCCATATTTCAGTCAAGCATATTTTGGGAAGCCTATCAGAGTCCATTGATTGGATCTTCAGCCAGTATGTAAAAGCATTAATTATTAGATGACTATGTAAGGAATGGATACCTAATTCTGCTCTGACTGCAGGAGCAGTCCTATTCTTATCCGTTCCCAATATGCATCTTAAAAAGCGGGTCTGGATTTGTTTGAGTGGGGTAGCTTTATTTAAACCCCACAATTCTGCATCATAGGTCAGCATTGGAACTATTTTGCCCTAAACATTTTCAATATAGGGATCAGGGTGCCTGGATAATTGTAGTTAAATAATTTCTATAATCTCTTAGTGCTTGCCATGGCCCTTGCCGAGCTTCTTTTGAAGTGATTTAACCACAACCGTGTACTAATAAAAACCACTCCTATGTAATTGAAAAGATTTACTTGTTCAATAGACTCCCCATTTATCTGCCAGTTATATTTCTCACATTTGCTGCTGAATACCATCACTTTAGATTTCCTTTTATTGATTTTTAAAAAATTATGAGCACAATAGGTATTCAGTGTTTGCAGCAGTCTTCTCAGGCCTATTTGGGAATGTGCCATTAGAACCATATCATCAGCATATAATAAAATATTAATAAATTTATCAAGGATCTTTGGCATATGCATGTCCACATCATACAGGAATGCAGGTAAATCACTGACATACAGATAGCATTGGGGCTAGAATACAACCCTGTCTGACACCATTAAAGATGGGTATACTCTTAGTTCAAGAGCCATTTACACCTGTACGAACTTCCAGATGGGTGTTTGAATAGAGGGCCTTAACCAAGAGTAACAGTCTGGGTTCCATATTTAAGTTGGCCAATTTCTTCCACAGAATATTTCTATTTATTGAGTCAAAAGCTGTGCTAAGATCTATAAATGCGGTAAACAGTTTCTTGCCATTTGCTACAGTAATTGCTTTGATAGAAGATGCTAATAGTTTTTTGTTTTTTTTTTAATCTGCACTCAGTGGGGCCCACCAATCAACGTGAGTCTTAAAAAGTTCCGGAGGTAAAAAATCTTCCCCAGGCACCTTATTAGGTTTTAAGGATCGAATAATAATTTTGATTTCTGTTATAGATACAGGAGGCCAAGGGGGAAGATTTTCAAAGGGTAAAAAATTGGTACTTTGTTTATGCAAAAGACCCTGGTTAGGATTAGAAAATAAATTAGCATAATAATCCTCCCAGGTGGAAGCTGGAATGGGAATATCGAATTGGAATTTACGTTCCTTTAACAAACCTGATACAGTATTCCAGAAGAAAACTGAATTTGTCCCTTTGTTCACTTGGGTATAATACCTGAGGATTATTTAATAAATGATCCACCCTGGCTTTCTAATGACCTCAAAAGAAATATTGCAGGTTCTCAACTGGTCTCCTTGATTTACAGATGTAACCTTCATATTTTAGGTGGTAAGGAACCTGATTTTATATATCCTTTTACATATTATTCAGGAAATTCCCGCAGTGTTTTAGGTTATATATGTGTTTCCCGAGACAAGTTTGAGCTATTTTCAGACATCCAAGTCCTAGTCTTTTCTAGGCAGATTGGACACAAGATTATATACATCCTATGATAAGAGGATATTAGCTAATCTTGAAGTGAGGCAGAACAGGAAACTTAATTGGGCTAAGGTTGATACCAAAGCATTATTGATCTTTTTGAATTCCGTACAGGCCCAGACTTGGAGAAACTCAATTTCTTCCTTTACTTTAGGTCCAGATAAAATTCTGACCCAGTATGCTGACCTGTGTCATGAGCTGAGAACATTTTTAACAGTTAAGCTTCCTGTTAGGAACTGTCAGCAGATTAGTTCAAATTGGTTTGACTCTGACTGCTTACACAGTAGAAAGCTCCTAAGGGCAGCAATGTGTCAGGTCCTGGGACATCCTACTAAAAAAAAATCATGCAAAAATGCTAAAAATTAGGTGTGTCCATAAGAAATGGATAGCCTTTAAGAAAGCTTCTTATAGAGCTAAATTATGGTCAGACTTGGAAGTTTGGACACCATTATAGATACTGGGCAAATTCTCATACTGGGAGTTCAAAGGAGCAGGAGTTCCTGGGTTGATGATAGCTCATTGATTTAATATGTTGCTGTTGGATCAAACACACTTCTAACCTTTGTAGGTATTGTCATATGATTGCATTTGAATATGTTCCCTGAAACTTTCATTGCTACCTTACCAGATGATAGCCTGCATCATATTTTTTGAGTGCTGCTTCCTTTACTGTTGATAGCTGATCCTAAAAGGCAAAAGTCTATTCACCACTTCAGTATCTGATTTATCAGTTGTGAGGCTGGTTGCAACATGTTATTGTTTTTTAACTATATTTAATCATAACCCTCATGCATTTGCAGATGATAACTTAAATTTTGAGCTAGGGGCCTCCCAAAGTCATGCAGGGAGCACTCACAGTCAACCATGAATATAAACCTAGGTCTCCCTGGTCCATTGTTTCTTGGCTAAAACAAACAAACAATCATAACTGAGCCTTACATGAAGATTTTTGCACACAGGTTAAGCAGGATAGATAAATCTTTTAAACTTTACACTTCCCAATTACAATAAAAAGATGAATACATACAACAAATATTTTTTCCCCTCCTCTGTGGTGGTATTATAGCTTAAATACTGTCATAATATATCAGGGCCTGAATCCAATCACTTGGATTTTAACTGTATTCTATTCAGGTTTCAGTATTTGTTATATCCCTCCTTAAAAGGTCTCACATCCCCAAAGAAACATAAGCATTTACATAAAAATAAATCCATTTTTGCCTGTCAAATGATTACTGAGAGAGGTGAGCTTGAAGAAAGACAAACTCAATATAAAAAAAGGAAAAAAAGAAAGATTTACCCATGGCAATATCTACCATTTTCTTCAGGTCATTCTGATTCTTGAAGCCTAACACAGTGTTGTAGAAATGATTTCAGGCACAGACCTGGCCTTGCATTGGTGTGACATAACAGTCCTTTACCAGCCGTGCCCACAAGAAGAGTCTGCATTCTCCTCTCTTCAAGGAATTAAAATATTGCATCTGTGTGAGTTTCTCCTTTCCCCCCATCTTGCATCTCTGGGGGCACATGCTCACTGGCTGACATAGGGATGGCAGCCAATATTCCAGCTCAATCTTTCATCACTCCCCCATCACAGCAACCTTGATCTCCTTCTGTTCTTTTGAGCTTTCAGGGTTGTTGTTCTGAAGAGCAACAGACAGAACCCTATACCTGCTTAGATTTTTTTTTCCATTATTCCATGGAAAAAGTCTGTGCCTGCTCCCGTCAAAAGAATCCTAAACTAAAGTCTGGGTGTATGTATGTGTGTGTGTGTGTACGTGTGTATGTATGTATGTATGTATGTGTGTATGTGTGTGTATGTGTGCATGTGTGTGTCTATATATACACACACACACACATACATACATACATACAGGCCAAACACATATATACACACCCAGTCGAATACTTACAACTTTTTCCCCACGTATTTTCATCTTGGAGATCCTTGATGTAATGGAATGGAATTATGAAGGCCAGGCTCAGGGAGATAAGCATTTTCTTAGCTCGCCACAGGAGCATGGGAACTACAAGAGAATGAGACTGGCACCTCCCTGAGGAATTCACACCGTTGTGGCTGGCTGACTTGGGAGCTGGGGTTTCAGTCTGGGAAGATTCTTGCTAGATGTTGTAGCTAATAAACATAGCTGAACTGATTTTGCATTATCTTTTGGAGTTCCTTGGGCTAGGCCTGACACTTCCCTGTATAAGAGAGGGGTATATTAAAGGATTTGGGCCAAATTGCACCTTTGCTTTTTATGTCAAATGCTACCATTCTAATCTCAGGCCAAACCAAATCAATTGTGTTTTTCCATTATTCCATGGGAAAAATGCATGTATGTATGTATGTATATCAAAGGGGAGAAAGTGTTATGTCAAAGAACCATGGAAAATGGTTGAAAATGCAGCAGCAAGAGAACTTCTTTTGCAATGGGTGACTGTAATAAATCTTAATAAGAAGAATAATTCTCAATGATAGAAATATGACCTATATTTCCTATAGACAGCAGTCTTTTCTTCAGCAATTTCTCAGAGCGAGAAGGATCACATGATGAACTAATTCCTCCTTATTAGTTGCTCCCTGTGGTTTAGCTCAGGCCTGAAAAAAATGATGTAGCATTTTGGCAAAAAGATGCATCCTAGTAATGCAGTGCTGGAGGACAGGATGGAGAAGACCTCCACAGCTACCATGGCTTTTCCTTTTGTGCTCAGATAGGCTGGAACAAAGGAGACCCACACACTGCAGAAGGCCAGCATGCTGAAGGTGATGAACTTGGCTTCATTAAAGCTGTCAGGTAATTTACGGGCAAGAAAAGCCACAGTAAAGCTGGCGATGGCCAAGATCCCCATGTAGCCCAAGACGCAGTAGAAGAAGGAGGATGACCCCTCATTGCATTGTAAAATAATTTCTTTGGCTTCTGAGTACAGGTCTAACTCAGGGAATGGGGGAGATGTTGACAACCAAAGAGCACAAATACATACTTGGAAGAGAGAGCAGGAAAGGACAGCAGAAAAGGCCAGTCTTCTCCCCACCCATTTCCTCATTGGAGATCCTGGTTTCGTGGCCATGAAAGCCACCACCACAGTGATAGTTTTGGCCAGGACACTAGAAATGGCCACTGAGAAGGTGATG